AAGCACTTAAAGCTTAATATGTGATAAAGATCATAGGACAAACATTAACTAAGACTGAGTATGTACAAAAGGTCAGTGTGAAAATTACTAAGGCTGAATGTGTAAAAAACATCAGTGTGACAATTACTCAGGATAATGTTGAAAATGGTCAGTGTGAAAATGCCTAAAAGTTGATGTGAAGAAAGGGTCAGTGTGACAATGACTAAAGCTCAATGTGTGAAAAAGGTCAGTGTGACAGTGACTAAGGCTCAATGTGTAAAAAAGGTCAGTGTGACAGTGACTAAGGCTGAATGTGTGAAAAAGGTCAGTGTGACAGTGACTAAGGCTGAATGTGTGAAAAAGGTCAGTGTGACAATGATTAAGGCTCAATGTGTGAAAAAGGTCAGCATGACAGTGACTAAAGCTCAATGTGTGAAAAAAGTCAGTGTGACAATGACTAAGGCTGAATGTGTGAAAAAGGTCAGTGTGACAATGACTAAGGCTCAATGTGTAAGAAAGGTCAGTGTGACAGTGACTAAGGCTCAATGTGTGAAAAAGGTCAGTGTGACAATGACTAAAGCTCAATGTGTTTAACTTTGTTGGTGCTGTATAAAGGTGTGTCACAGGTTTTAATCTTTGGGCTAATATATAATGCACATACCCGGTTTGTCTGCAAATATTGTGTAACGACATACCCGGTTTGTCTGCAAATATTGTGTAACGACATACCCGGTTTGTCTGAAAATATTGTGTAAGGACATACCCGGTTTGTCCGCAAATATTGTGTAACAACATACCCGGTTTGTCTGCAAATATTGTGTAACAACATACCTGGTTTGTCTGCAAATATTGTGCAAGGACATAACGGGTTTGGCTTTTTTTTTATTACTCTTTTCTTATTTATTCTGAAGCCATAAGAGTTAATTAAATTCCCTCTAAATGTGAGTTTGGAATAAATACAACTTATCAAATCAAGTGGAAAGCTTTCCAAGAATAACAAATATTCATAAATGATTATTAGATTTAAACACAACTGACACTTCTTTATCAACACCAGTGATATGTAAGATTTTTTGTATATATGGATTGTAAAAACATTCTGTAAAAGAGTGAATAAACATTACAGATATTTTTACACTATGTTTTGAGACTTCTTGTCTAATATGCAGTACGTATGGAAATCTACGAACAGACTGTGTTCCGGCATCCAATCAAACTACAGAATTTTGGACAAAGGAGTGTTATCACTTAGTATATACTGTTCAAACATTCATGTACAAAAAACAGTCTGTTAATACAAAGAACAGAGTACTTTCTAACCTAATGTTAACAAAAGCTGTTATGTACAATATGATCTTAATAGAAACAGTTGTTAACTCATCACACAATTTACAGATATTTCTGTATCAGCACAGTTTAATAGTACAAGGTTGGAAAGATCTGTGATAACACCAAGTTTCAGACAAAAGTGATTTGGAGATATAAAATATTTATTCTAAAGCAACAGCATCAACCGTAATCAGACTCTAACCATTTTCTATGGCATCATTACACCAAAGTATACTTTAGCTGAAAACATCCTTACACAATATTTTCAGACAAACCAGTTGTGTTGTTACACAATATTTGCAGACAAACCGGGTATGTTGTTACACAATATTTGCAGACAAACCGGGTATGTCGTTACACAATATTTGTGGACAAACCGGGTATGTCGTTACACAATATTTGCAGACAAACCGGGTATGTTGTTACACAATATTTGCAGACAAACCGGTTGTGTTGTTACACAATATTTGCAGACGAACCGGGTATGTTGTTACTATTCAACCGTGCTTCCTTACTAAAATAAAAATAAACCAGTTGTATTACACATCTTTGTATTAAAAGAACACTAACCAGTTGTATTACACATCTTTGTATTAAAAGAACACTAACCAGTTGTATTGCACATCTTTGTATTAAAAGAACACTAACCAGTTGTATTACACATCTTTGTATTAAAAGAACACTAACCAGTT